AGTTTCTAGGCGCTTGCAGCTTCTTAAAAAAATGTTTCCCATATTAGTTACCTACAAATTGAAGCCTGTGAAAACATAAACCTAGGTTTCTCTCCTTCACTGGAAGGCTGCAGACTGAAGAATTCCTTTGTCCCTTAAGACACTGGCTCTCTAATAAGAACTGGAGTACTTGTGCCTGCCACTCAACAGTCCCATTCCGTGAGGCTATGAATGCATGTGCCTAACTTTCAGTTCAATGGCACCAGCTTTTACTGCCTGCTCCCCACACCGGGTGTATGCTTTGTGGTGAGTCATCTCATTTCAGTTGTCTGGCTGTTTTTCCCTGTGCTTCACTTTTATCTGAACCCTCACTTAACAGGTGCAAAAAGTGGCATAGGAACAGTTGTACCTTCCACCATTATATAAATATACTATATAAATATTTCAAAATGATATATATATTTGATTCCCCACTTCTCCACTTGCAGCTGCTGGGTGACTTTGGGTCAGTCACAGTTCTCTCAGGGTGGCAAATTTACCTTACCAACAAACCTTCAGAATGTGTTGACAGCAAGTGTCCCTGCCCTAGTTAGCACAAGCAATACCAGTGCATTACATGTGCCATCTTTTAAAAATTCAGATTGGGTTTCTACTCCAGTTCTACAGTTTTCCCCAGATGTGCAAAAATAGCTGCGTTGTCTTAGACATGTTAAGTGGAGAAAAGAACCTCTGCCTTATGGTTTCATCATCTTTCCAATCATAAATGTAAAATTTATGTTGGTTTTCATGAGACTCTGAAATTCTCTCATCAACTCGTATAACAGAATTGGGGGTTTCGTGGGGAGGGGCTAGTTGATGTCCTGTGAAAGAGAAAGCAGCAGAAGGAAAATAAGAATTGCCAGTAAACTTAACCTAAAGTGAAAAAACACAACTCCAGACTGTTTCTTTTATGTAACATCTTCAGCTATATAGAAACAGAACAGGAGGCCAAAGTTCGGCTGGCCAAACAGAGGGAATACTGGATATGGACTGGGGAGGGGGAAGAAAACCAAAGCAAGACTGAGGCGCAGCCCTACAGATCCACTGGCAGGTCTTGGGCAAGCCGCACCCTCCCAGCATGTGTTCTCTATCGTGAAATGCAAAAGTTTATTTATTTACTTGACTCATAAACTGCCCTCCCTTGCATGATGAACAACATTTCTAATAACATTCACAATCCAATTAAAACCATTTAGAACACAAGGGGGGGGGGGGAGGAGCCAGGCTAGATGTCCGCAACCATAGGCCTGGTGGAACATCTCTGTCTTAAAGGCCCTGCTGAACTGTGCTAGGTCCCGCAGCACACAAATGTTGCTGGGCAGAAAGTTCCACCTGGTCAGTGCCAGGGCCGAAAAAGCCCTGGCTCTGGTTGAGGACAGCTGGATATTTCTCAGGTCAGGAATCACCAGTGAGTTCTTCTCTCCTGAGTGTAATGTTCTTTGGGGGCTACACCAGGAGAGGCAATCCCATAGATACATCGGCTCCAGACCGTTTAGGGCCTTAAAGATTAATATCAAAACCTTGAACCTGATCTGGTACTCAACCTGGAGCCAGTGCAACAGGTGAAGCACCAGTTATTTGTGGGCCGTTGGTGGAGTTCCAGTAAGAATGTTGGATCTTATGGTGCATGGATTGGCCCTATTTGGTTTCTTTTTGTTTCCAGATGCTGCTGACATGAGTCTTTTTATTTTGCCCATTTTCACTTCTGGAGTTCCACTGCGGGGTTTTTTTTCTTTTATGGAATTTTAACACCCTTTAAAAATGTTATTTATATGCTGCTGATGCAAAACAATGTTTAAAACTGTGTAACTGAACAGGAAAGAATATGACACAAGGAAACAGAAAACGATAGAACGATAAAGACTTACAGGATTGATGCACAAAGAAAAACTGGAAACGAAACAGGGATTTTTGGATTAACTGGGAAAATCCTTGTGTGCGCATGTATGTGTAACTGCTGTCGTCACCACTCATTTATGGAGACCCCGTAGGGTTTTCAAGGCAAGAGACTAACAGACGAGATTTGCCATTGCCTTCCTCTGTATGGTGACCCTGATGTTCCTTGATGGTCTCCCATCCAAATACTAATCAGGGCCGACCTGGCTTAGTTTCCAATGATTGGGCTATCCTGGGCCACCCAGATTAGGGCAGGATTATCTTTAGCTGAGGAAAAACAGAAAGCTGTTCAAACACCCTTATCAAGTGACAAGATAGTAATAGGTCACTGCTAGAAAATGGCAGCATTCAAGTGATGTCGCACTCAACTCTCCTCCATGGAACCAGTGGAACTTCCTGTATCTAGGGCAGGGGTGTCAAACTCATTTGTTATGAGGGCCGGATCTGACATAAATGAGACCTTGCTGGGCCAGGTCAAGTGTGTGTCATAAAAGGTAATGCCAGGTAGTGGAGATATAAACTTTATAAAGGACACAAACACAGAGGGTTTTTTTAACTTAAAATAAAAGCATACTTAAAACAGTAGCACTCTTGCAATATTTTGTTTATTTAAAAGTGTCTGATAACTGACACCTCTTGCTTTGAATTATTGCATCAAAAGATCTGTGCTGTTGCAATCTTGAGTATGCTGTTCAGGTGTGTATCTGTACGCTGCAAACCTACGATGATGCAGCAGCAGCAGAACTGGAAGCAGAAGGAGAAGACAGCCAGTTCCACTGCGGGCCTGATAGAAGCCCTCCGGGGGCTGATCTGGCCCCTGGGCCGCATGTTTGACACCCCTGATCTAGGGTTTTAAAGCGATCAAAAAGGCAGATCATCTGCGCCATGGCATAAGCACAAACCAGCCTGACAAACACAAGCTTTTTCAGGCAATGCCTTCCCCAGAGCTTGGTCTCAGCACAGGTGAGATGGGGTGCCAGTAGGAGAGATACCAGGAGAACAAGGACAAGTCAGGAAAACAGCAAACAACACACAGATCATGCCACTCTTTGGCCTTCAATTTGAACAAATATGTTTCTCATCACAAGAGGCCCAAAGAAGAATTTGCCCCTGGGAACAGGAGACACTGTGGCTGGGCAGGGGACTCAGACAGGATTATGGAGAGAATGAAAAAGGTCAAGGGTCGGGGTGTGCAAGAGGGGCAACGCACTGCGCTCTGAGTGAGGCCCTGCGCATTTCTTCAAAGCAATTTATTTTCTCAACTGTATCTTAAAACACAGCCCGGGCACACAACAGGAGAAGAGGCCAGGCATATGTCATGGACATGAATCTTCGCTTTGGCAGAGGAAAAGCTAGCTGCTTCTGAGTGTTGGAATTTGGTGGCATCTCAGGTCATGGGAAACAGAGGGAGCCCGAGGCCTGGGGCACATACTAGGAGCTCAGCTATAAGGAATGAAAGCTGAAATACCTGGATGCTCAAGTGCACCCTGATTCCTCCTTTTCCCTGTCTTACAACTGATGCCATTATTGCCTTTCCTGGAAGGTTGTGCTAGGAGGTCTGGGTGCCCGGTAACCCCAAGCAACTTGCTTTAAAAGGGGGGGGGAAAGCAGCAGTTGATTTGGTGCGTATATGAAGGTGTGATAGCAGGACGAATGCCAGCTGGAGAGAAACTAGAACAATTGTTGTGGAGTAGTGGTTAGAGCGTCAGACTAGGAACAATGAGCATTGGGTTCAACTGCTCACTCAACCACAAAGGTCGTGGAGTGAACACTGGCCAGCCTTTCTCCTTCAGCCTTACTTACCTCACAGGGTTGCTGTGAGAATAAAATAGGGGAGGAGAGCATCAAATATGTCAACCCTGAGCCCTTTTCAAGGAGAATCAAGATTTTTTTTTTAAATAAAAGGTAGGTCTCATTACTTTTGACCTAATGCAGTTTTACTACTGCCGGTTTCTACTGCTGCTGTTTAATGGGATTTCATATTGTTATTTGGGTTTTATGTACTCTTAAACTGCTCTGAATCACCCCCATTATGGCACTACAACATCGTACCTTTACTAATTTCAATACTGATAAGGCCCCGACCATGGCCCAGGCTAGTCTGACCTCATCAGCTCTCGGAAGCTAAGCAAGATCAGCCCTGGTTAGTACTTGGATGAGAGACCAACAAGGAAGTCCAGGGTCGCTACGCAGAGGCAGATGAACATCTCTTGCCTTGAAAACCCTACGCAGTCACCAGAAGTCGGCTGCGACTTGATGCCACTTTCCACCACCAATACTGATAAGACATCATTACCAGATGTTATCTGTAACTGCAGACTGTTGTGGATGCAGCCTCAGAGTCTAGCACTGTTGTGGCCGCTGGGAAGTACCAGCTAGTCCCATGCCACACTGCTTCCAGTTTTCAGCACTGCCACTCAGCTGGCCTTAACTCTCTGCAAGGAGAGACAATGTGTTTTTCTTACACATTTTCTAGCTTTTGATGGACACAGGGCTTTGACTCAATAACAGGCAAGAGGGAGGGGGTTAGTGCCAGGAAGGGATGTTTCTTTCTTAGGGTTTACACCCTCTGGGGTGGCAGGGACTGCCAGAAACCAAGCAGTTGTACCCAATAAAGTTTCACACCCTCCTCTGGGTGTGATAGGTTAGAAGGGCTCACCCCATCCACTTCAGATTCCCCATTCAGTTCCTTGTCTTTACTCCATAATCTGCTCTGCAAAGCCTTTCTGGGTGGGTCATCTGCCTGTAGCACAATGTGGACCTTTCCTCCCAAGAGGAATGTCAAACCAATTGGCCTTTTGGCTCCTTCCAGCAGAGACAGCCAGGAAAACATACCAGAGGTACAATTCATGCTGGGTCTTTTAACAAGGGCTCTTAGGAATGGGATTACCCACACAGAGGAGGGCAGTTATCCAGCCTGTTACACAATCATGAAGCCTGTGGAACCCCCTGCTTTTACAGGACTCCCAATCCTGTTCCCTTCCTCAGCATGCTGGCATATTAGTCACCGGAAAGACTAAAATCCAATAGTATGCAGTTACTGGCAATTCCCACAACTTCCTCTCTTTTCTCTCCCACCTGTGGAAATGGCAGGACTGAAATGCAAAGGCTCCCCCCCTCCAAAACACACGCTCACACAAACCTTAAAGCTGCCTTGGCTTCACCTGATATGAGCAGATGAATTGGGAGTGGCTTAGCAGGCTATGTAGGGCTGTCAAGGGGTGGAGGTACATAGGAGTGACGGCTACTTAAGATGCTGTGTAGTGTATGAGAGACAGACACCCGCACTTCTAAACAGCACAGAGTCCTAGTGGATTCTCTACCTTGGAGAGCCTCAGTTCAGAGAGAGAGAGAGAGAGAGAGAGAGAGAGAGAGAGAGAGAGAGAGAGAGAGAAGGCAAGAACAAGAATTTTAGCTTGCAACTGTCCTTACAGAGACTTCCATACCTGGAGAGTTCAAGTCTAAAGCCAGTTCCATCTGGGGCGAATTTAGAAACTTCTCAAGCAGTTGCTGGAAGCAAGGGGGGAAAATAATGCAGAGCACGGTCAGCACTCATCTGGCTTGGTTATGTGTGATAACCATCTCTTTGGCCGTCTATCCAGCGTGGCTGCAGAAGCCTCCCAAGAGGAAGATAGTCAGTGGGAATGCCAAGGCCATGGGTTGCTGTGAAGAGGTGAAGGAGCTGAAGATGCAGGTGGCCAACCTGACTGCCTTGATAGAGGAGCTGAGCAAGAAGCAGGAAGACGAGATGGGGAACGCCATCGTGCAGATGATGGAGCTGGAAGGGACCCTGAAGCAAATGGACCTGCGCCTCAATGACGTGGAAGGGAAGTACTCCGAGATGAACAACCAGCTGGGTATCGTGCAGCTCCAGGCAGCCCAAACCGTCACACAAACATCAGCCGGTAAGGAGGTGATCCCCCCCCCCCACTGCCGCTGAGGCGCTGCTAATAAATGCGGACAGGGAAAACCAGCCATCGGCTTGTGTCTCCCCCGAGGCCAGTTCTGGCATAGTGATTTTCTCGGTGGGTAAGCTTTTGAAATTACAGCTGTGGAAATCATAACACCTGGTATTGGGGGGGGGGAATCCATGTGGATTTTTCTTCCAAAAAAGATCCGTGACCAGCGTACTGAATTCCTGCTCATGGATTTTCTCTGTTAAACCTCCAGGAAAGTAACATTTTCCACAGGTGTCCCTAGGAATTTTTCCAAAAGCATGCCCGCAGGGAGAAACTGTTATTTCAGAAAGGTCTTCAGTTTTTACCACAAATTGTATCCATCAATTGGGGATTATTCCCTAGCAGGAAGGTTGAGTGCCCAGAATGACGGCTCAGGTTGTAACACTATGCACAGTCACTTGGTAGAGAGTTCCACTGAAGTAAGGGGCACTTACATTTGAGCAGACACGGGTAACAAACTGAATCTAGGGAGCAAGAGCAGAGCTTTCAACTGCAGTACTGTGAAATCTGCCTAAAATATCTTATTCTGTCCTCTATCTGAATAGAGAGGCACAATCAAGTTATACATTTCAATCTTCTATTAATCCCCTCCTCAGGCAGGAAATCTACTCATAACCAAAGAGTCATAACTCATAAAAGCAGGAGAGGCATTTTCCAAACAGTCTAAAGGATCTGCAGTCCTAATATTGCACTCAGTGATCTATCAGATTTGTTGCTTTGCTTTTAAAAGGTGGTTTGCTTTAAAGAGTACATGGATTAATCTGCACTAAAAATTGCACATGAACCAAAATAAAATACCTCTAGATTATCAACTTACAGATAAAGATATGCCTAAGTGTTGACTATTTCCAAGAAAGCAGTGGTTATAAACCCAATCCTCATTTTGTGCTTCACCAGAAGCAGACCACATCTTAAGTCTCTGGTAAGTAGAAGCTAGTTCCAAACTTTTTCAGTCTGAAGTGCTGACTCAGAGAGACATTCTGCAACTATTAAAAAACCTTCTATTATCTAGAATAAACCATATATTCAATCGTACAGACTTGTTGCACCTTAAAGACCAACAAATTTTTATCATGGCTTAAAATTTGTGGTGGATTCTCAGTTGGTAGACATATTTGAAGAAAAAACTTATATGTACCAGAGAATGGCCTTTTGACATTGCTGTTTATAAAGTTTCTGCCTCCATAACCTCCATGAGATGGCCTCTAGGCCATCAAGGCTTACACTACAATAAAGGTATGGCCATTTTTAATGGGTCATGGAACTTCTGCTTATTTTTCCTGCACCAGAAGACCACAGTTGTCCCTCAGGACACTGTATGCTGAATAACTCTACAATTTTAGCTACATAAAGGAGGGGGGGGATTACTAACTCTTTATTGGCCCACTGGCTTGTGCCTAATTTGCTACATGACATGGGCCATCCATAAGTAAGGAGTTATACTGTATTAACCAAATGGGGGAGGGGGCCTATGTTACATGCACATGGCTAAGAGAGAGGGGGAGTATGCCAATACAAGTCAGTATGAGAGTGTGAAATTTGTATCATTTGATGTGCGAACGCACATGGGTTAGGGATGCAATACAGTTAACAACATCCCCACCACTCGCCCCTTTAGACCATCCCTGCAAATAAGAGGATGAAAGTTACTAACCCATGAATATGTTACTAAACTGCTTTGCCCACTCACACCTGTGTTAGTTATCTGTGGCCTAAAGGGCAGCAAGAATTTATCCTCTCTCTCTCCCTGGATGCTTCAAAAGAATCCTTTCTTGGTGCAAGCGACTGATCATTTCAGAAGCCTGCCTGGGACCTCAAAAATTGACCTCGCCTGACCTTAAAGTTTCTGAAATATGGTAGCATTCCCCTAAATAATCTATTCCCAAACCAAGGCCACTAAACACAGAATTGTTAAAACTGAAATATATCATCTCAGAGTATGATTTTGCAAAACAATCCAGCACAAGCAGAAGGCAGCTGCAGAAGAACTGTCGGATACAAGGAAGCCACAGTTGGCACCTAATCCCAACAGGTGGAAACCATTCAGCTTGCACACTGCTAAAACTGTCAGGATGGATAAAAACTCTCCTCAGGCACAGCCTCTCCCCCTTGAAGCAGCTGGATGTTCATTTCCTACACAGATAGGAAACAAAGGTTTCCAAAGGCTGACACGCTTGCATGAGCGGGAATGCACTTTATGAACACGGGTGGGCTCTGAAGCAGAAAATAGACCGAGAACAGCCCAAACATGTTGGACTTGCTAAGTTGGCTTGTCTGCCCAACTGCACAACTGAAGCAGGCATGCTGGCTTCAGGCCTGGTCATCCTGTCAAATCAACGTATTTGGGCTTGAAGGATGGCAAATATGCACAGCCTATCTTGCCTTACCCAAGTGTGTGAGTCTTCTGAGGTGGTTTTAAGAGAGGAGGAGGAATTTAAACGGAGCAAATGGAAACTGGGTTTTGTGCATTCGGAAAGTAGAAAGGTTCTGTATGGAGCAGAACCAGTGCTCTATGCAGCACTTGAAATGCTTCACCCTTAGAAGAATGTTGTGATGTTAGGGTATCACTACTCTAGTTTTACAGGTGAGGAGATCCCATAACTAAGGGACAGAAAGTTGTCCAAGGCCAAACTCCACAGTCTGAATATCAGCCTCCAAAATTCATCTTTGATAGACTGGTTGCTGAACTGTTGTCTGCTTTTTGCTAGTCACTTCGGAATGGATTTGGAAGGAGGAGAAGGAATTCAGATCAACATGTCAAAGCCACTCACTGCCTCTTTCTCATTGGGCCCAGGATTAATTTGAGGCCACACACATGTTGTACTGCCCCATCTCTGTGGGATTTCTACAGGTTACTGAAGGCTCAAGGAATTGGAAGCCTCTCTCAGAGTGGATGAGGACACCCTGGGAAGGAGCCTCTGTCGTGCACCCACAATGCAGTTCCCTTCGTCCCTTCAACATCTGTCCCAGCACCAGTCTACTAGTTACCCAGCAGAGGCATTCAAGCTAGCACCTACAAACTTGAGCCTATGCATGGATGACAGAGAGAATGTAAGGATATCTGAATGCAAGTAGGATAGCCTTGATCACAGTGTCAGAAGCAATGCTATCCAAATGGCCCCCCGTGGATCAACCCATGCAAGCAAGGCCAGTGGCCACCCACAAGCACAGTACTGGTGCAAAGCAGAGGGACCTTGAAGTGCTCCAGATGCCCCCCAGTAAACCAGCCAGGTCGAAACTACAAGAGACCATCCCCCTCCCCCTTCCATTTTTAGCCAACATAGCCAGGGGCGGGGGGACTTCCTTCCAAACACCAACTGGCTGCGTACAGACTCATCTTCTGCGCTTTCCTAAGGAAAATGCTACTGGGGTGCAAGGGTCTGCTATCCAATATTCACCGTGCCTTCCCAAACCTGGCAATGCCACCACTCTCCTCTCCTTGGCAGAATGCAGCTCAATTCACTGGGTGTACCCCACTAGAACTATCTGTTCTGTAAGTGCCTTGGGGCACAGAACAGATGGGTAAAAACAGTTGATTTGACTTGTTATTTATTTATTCGATTCATTTGCCACCCACCTTTCTCCCCAAAGGGTACCCAAAGCGGCTTCAGTAATTCTCCTTTCCAACATTTTAGCCTTTCAACAACCCTGTGAGGCCGGTTAGGATGAGCGAGTGTGACTGGCCCAAGGTCACCCAGCAAGCTTTTACAGCACGATTAGCTGATCATTCTCTCTGCCATCCATGCATAGGCTCAAGTTTGTAGGTGCTAGCTTGGATGACTCTGTTGGGTAATTAGTAGCCTGGTGCTGGAACAGATGTTGAATCATCCAGCTCCTGTGGCGAAGGGAACTGTATCGTGGGAGCCTGATAGAGACTCCTTCCCAGGGTGTCCTCATCCACTCTGAGAGAGGCTTCCAATTGCTTGAGCCTCCAGTAACCTGTAGAAATCCCACAGAGATAGGGAAGTACAACATATGTGTGGCCTCAAATTAAACCTGGGCCCAATGATCAGCTCCCAGATATTACTTCGACACTCTTAACTACTACACCACACTGGCTCTCTTGACTTGAAGTTAAAGAAGTAAAATTTTGAAGCCCCAGTGGGAAGAGGCAGAAATGTTTGTAGTATACATACTTCTTATCAAACATAAATCTCCTTTACTGATTTAACAACAAAAATGCATCATTTATACTTTATCATATAAAATTGTACTACTTGGCATATTTTAAAGGCAGAAATGTCTTTAGTTTAAGAATAACTGCAACTATACCTAATACTTGAGAAAGAGTTGCAAACTGGTACACCATATACTCCCATAGCATATGTATCTTAATTTCTGACATGTAAAGAAAGGCCCCACTGGTGGACCTCCTGGTGGCACCTGGTATTTTTGGCCACTGTGTGACGGAGTGTTGGACTGGATGGGCCATTGGCCTGATCCAATATTGGCTTCTCTTATGTTCTTATGAAAAAATAAATGTTGAAGGCAGGAAACAAATTCTGCAGTGACTGAAAAAGTGTGTTTGGACAGAAACACCCCTATGCAACCACAAGAGGCAGAACTACCAGCATATCTGGACATCAAGTTAAACTGTAACATTACAGTAAAATGTGTTAATAATAATAATAGTGTTAGTTTCAGAGGTTAGCTATGTCAGTTTGCAGTGGAAGAGCTTGATTCGAGTCCAGTTGCACCGCAGAGACCAACAAGATTTTGGGGGTATAAGCCTTGACTCTTGAAAGCCTATGCCCTGAAAATCCTGTTGGCCTCTAAGGGGCTACTGGACTCGAATGCAACATTACGGCATATTAACTGCTCCCCAAATCGTTTACATTTAAACAAAACACTTCTTGAAAACGTATATGCCTACAATATACAAAAGAATTGGCATAATCTAATACTGTAGACTTACATAAAATATTTCATGCTACACATTTTCAATAAAACCCTGTGATTCATTGAACTCAGTCCAATGGGGGAAAAAATAGTGCTCCCCAAAAGTGGAAAAGTCCACATAATTTTTCATATGATATATTCTAAGTGTGAAAACGCTTACCTTAAGAAGCACTTCACACCTTCTGAAAAGAAAATATTTCATAGTCTTTTTCAGTGCTCCCCAAGATCACCCAATTTTTCCACCAGAAATATTGAAAGGAAATCCTATTAAAAAATAAATCTGCCCTCCCCCCAAAAAATCTGTACCTAAGGTCAAGGACAGGTTTTCTGGTCCCTTATGCAACTGTAATTTTCTAATCTTTTAATAACTATACAATTATAACCACTGGGATATTTTTGCGGGCTTAATGTAACAGGGTGTTTTGTTTGCTGCTCACTGTGCAGCTGTATCTGAAAGCTATTCATTCATATGTATTGGATGATACCCACTACTTCAGAAGCATTTCTTTTTGTTATCAAATGTAATGGAAAAGACCTCAATAATTAAAACCGTACCAAGGTTCAGGAAATTTAGTTGGTGGGGCAAGGAGACAGAAAAACAGAGTTACTTCCCCCAGTGCTCAGGTATCACTTGCTTCCTTCCCTTCTTTGCATTCACACAGACGCGGTCTATGACTGCTCATCCCTTTATCAGAGGAATTACAGAACCTCCGGTGTTTACAAGCTGCTACCTGACGAGTTCCTGGGAACCCCAGAGCTACAGGTAAGGAACTGTGACACGTTATTTTATTCAATGAAAACAACACTTCTCCCCTGCATCCTTAGCGAAAAACCTCTAGAGGTGGCTTGTAAAACTTAAAGTGTTCTGAGCTTTCCCTAACCTCGCTGAGCAACTGGAACTGCTCCTGTTCCCATGTCTCCAGGTGTACTGCGACATGGAAACAGATGGGGGTGGCTGGACTGTCATCCAGAGGCGCAAAGTTGGTCTGATCTCCTTCAACAGAGACTGGAAACAGTACAAGCAAGGGTTTGGCAGCATCCAGGGAGACTTCTGGCTGGGAAACGAACACATCCATCGGCTTTCTAGGCGCCCAACCATGCTGCGTGTGGAGCTAGAGGCAAGTGAATGGTTTCAAACACAAGGCCGGCCAATGGTAACATGAGGCAAATATAAAGTTCTGCCATTAGAGTGGAGCAGTCCAAGGGCAACTTCCAAAAACAGCTCAAGGTAGTCCAATGGGTACAAGTAGTTCTTAGGACTGATGAGGTTGCGAATTCAGTGATTCCTTTTAACATGGCCATTCATGCAAACTCAAAAAAGGCCAAGGCACACAGGAGGCATTTTTGGTGACTACCACACCACTAAGAAATTCCCTTCCTTTCGAGATCTGCCAGACAGGAGGCAAAATTAGATCCTTCCTGCAGGCAGCTATCTCAGTGTTATATAATTGGCTGTGTTTCATTTTTAACCGTTGCCTCTTGTGAAGAAGACTGCCCACCCTGAGCATTCAGGAGGTGCACAAGTTGGAATGAATACCTGCCTCTTGCATAGATGATACAAGAATAAACATTGGAAGAAAGGATGTAATCGTTTGCAAGGGAACAGGCAAATGTATTCCAGGCAAACATTTTCCTAGATAAATGGGTAATGAAAGGTGTTTCTCTCTTCGCTGCTTTCCCACTTCCCACCTGACAGGACTGGAATGGCAACATCCGCTATGCTCAATACAACCACTTCACTCTGAGCAACGAGTTGAACAGCTACCGCCTGTTCCTGGCCAACTACAGTGGCAACATTCCACACGACTCCATGAGATACCACAACAACACAGCCTTCAGCACCAAGGACAAGGATAATGACAAATGTGTGGACCATTGCGCACTGTTACGCAAAGGTAAAGCTCCATGCATGCTCCTATTTCCTACACTGGGTGCCCGGTATAGGAACTCACTCCAGACTTGCAGGGGTGACTCACCTTGGCTGAAACAAGCCATACACAATGGGCAGCTGCAGCAGCCAGGCCAGGATGTCCCCAAAACATGCAGGGCAAGGCTCCAGACTCTAGTTTGACAGCCAGGTAGGGCCAGTCATATCAACAAGGCCAGCCTGGGTAAAGGCAGCAACTTTGGAGGCAACTGAGACAGGGCTTCAGGACAGTTCTGGCTGGGTGACGAGGTAGAGGGGAGGAGCAAGCCAGGAGAGGGGATTAGAAGGGTGGCCTAGTTTAAGGAGGATCTGCAGCAACCGCCTCCCCTCTCCAATCTGAGGCCCTGCCGGGAAGATCACATTGGAGCAAGGGCAATGTGGCCTTGACTGGAGGAGCGTCACACTGGGGTTCGTCCAAGGAGAGCTGCAGGCAACACTGCCATTTCCAAATTCTACATTATAAAACCTAATTTCTTCCATGTTGTCTCCCACCACCACACCCCGCTTCCCCAGAGGTCAGTTGGGGTCATCCTATTTATACCATCAAATGTAAATATATATATATACGTCCAAGCTCTGTTTTAGCAATATATTGATCTCACTTTTGAATTTATTTCTTTGTAGTTCTGGGGCAAATGATGGTAATTTTTATTTATTTATATTCCAATTTATATCCCGCCCTACCCCACCGAGATTGACATAGATAGGGGTAAACACTGCTTTGGGCTGTACTGCTGGACAATTGAATCTATTTCTGCAAAGGAGCTTCTGGGTATATTTTATGTCGCCTTTTCAGTTCAGGCAAAGTTAACAGAATGGCCCAAGCTTGGCCAGCGCTCTATATGAACTGAATGTGCATCCCAGAACTCTTTGCAACACACTGCTGTTCCATGGCAAGCATTCCTCTGTGCCCAAGTTGCCATAGAAAGATTATTTTTTGAAGGTAGAAATGTAGAAAGTCACTGTCTTAGAAGTCTGCCGAGGATTACAGATAACATGATTTTGTTTTTACTTCTTGAAAGGTGGTTATTGGTACAACTGCTGCACAGACTCAAATCTGAATGGGATTTACTACCGTAACGGTGAACACAACAAGAGCACAGATGGTATCACCTGGTATGGTTGGCATGGAAAAACCTATTCCCTGAAAAGGGTCGAGATGAAGATTCGGCCAGCAGACTTCAAAGCCCAGGGGGACAACAACAAAGTTGAGTAAGGCAGCAGAAACACTACCCCTTCACGGGGGGGGGGGGCCTATGGGGGGGGGCGGGGGAAAAGAAAGGAAACATTTTAAGTAGCAAAGCACAACCACTCATCTAAAAATGCAAGGGCTATAGACATGGGTGTTGACTCATGTATTACTAATGATGCAGAACCCCAAATGCAACCCAAAGCTTTTGTACCTCTCTTATGACAAGGTTCTCCAACAGGAAGCCAAAAACATACACCAGGATTGGGAGCCTCTTGCAACACTGCCCAATCAAGGACAAGATTACGGTCCTATTCAGGATTACCACAGAGCTGCCTTGGCATTTTTTTCTAATTGGTCTCAGGTGGGGGCAGGGGGTAGTTTTTATTTATGTCCAAACTGCAATTTTCAAAGTGTGTTTTAGATCAGCTCAGACACAGATATTGTCAAACTAAGGAAGGGTTTTTAAATTCCAAAATGGGAAAGAAAGGGCTGAGTTAGGGTAACAACAAGGAAGTCTTCAGGACATTTTATGACCTACAGATTCAAAAGGGGAGTGGGTGCAGATGGAGCTTAGACTGAGACAGCTGCCAATTAAAATGGAAGCTGCCACCAGGACTTCCGAAAGCACAGCGAGGCGGTGATGAAACCAGAAGTGGCCAGCAAGCAGATTCCAGATTTTGAAAGTGACACGTCATGTTTGTTATTGGGTTTTGTTGCTTTTTAAACAAAAGGCAGGGTAACATTCCAAATTATGCAGCATTTGATGTATGTTAAAAGGAGTATGGAATAATAGTACGTGCAGAACAGATGCACTGTTTGCATAAGCGCACGCTGCAAGCGCAGGTTCTCAAGCTACCACAGCACATACTGGGACTATCAGTTTTCAAAACACTTCCAAGAAGGACTCTTCTCTTGCATCCCAATCCCCTGCTTAACTGTATCGCCAGAGTAGATTCAGAGTTCATATGTCTGGGGTTTTATTCACTTTTTTATTACAAGAGGGATTTTGCTTAATTTAAAGTCATTGCCCTGTCATCGGGAGATGACAGTTCTCTGGGAAGCGTCGTGTATATGTTGACTAGCCAAAACTTGGAAATTGCACCGGAAAGACTTAGAGAGCACAGATTACGTTATTATGCAAGACTCTTGTGTGGGAGATAATTCCAGGTGGAATTGCATGTACTGTACATTGAATGAGTGCTCTGCACAAAACTGCTATGTCTGCATAATGGATATTTTTTTCAAATTCTATAATAAACTTCCTTGTTTTTAAATCGTGTTTTGAATGCTTTAAACTTTAGGAATGATTCATTTAGGGATTCTCAAACAGAAATAACAAATGCCCCTCCAGGATAAGAGACAAACTATGGTCTGGTATGCATTGCATAATATAAATATGGTGAAAAATGTTCCAGTATATTAAACAAAAGAGCAATCAGTACAAGAAAGAGCAAGACGATAATGGACAGGATCCAGAGGAATTTGGGCATATTTAAATCCTAATGCACACAAAGTGAAGACCTCAAGTCTGCTGTCCTAAGCACCACGACTAAAGAATGAGTGTCACTAATCTCATCGGGGCTTCTTCTCAATGAGCACACATAGCTTCAGGCTATAAATGTGTAGAATTGTGGTGCAGGTCCCAGTTACTTCAAAGATGAACAAACATGCTTAACTTCCTCTAATTTTCTGCAGGGTGGCTCCAGATACTCATGGGTAGCCCCACATGGAGGACATTGAAAGAAACAGCCCTCCTCACTATGCCTCCAGCAGTTGGTACTCAAGAGTTATACTAATTCTGAATACGGAGGTTCCATGCAGTATCGTGGCTAGTGGCTTTTCAGGGAAGAGCAACCCTGTCTTTACCCTCCAAACTGCAATCTGGCCCTGGCAACAGGCTGGCCTTCCCACAACCAGCCAAGCTTGGATGACCCACTGCAAGGTGCATAAGCTTTCTGGCTGTTGCAATCTCAGGTGACATGAGGACTGTTTGATCCTGCAAGCTGCCTCATAAGCAGCTTTAATACAAATCTTTACTATGACAAGAAGGGTAGACTGTGCAGCAGTCCCCCAGACTAGCTGCTGAAAAATAGGACAGTCCCCAAAATGTTCCAAGAGTAGCTCTCTTTAACATGCACACTGACACACAACCCCCAGTTGACTGAACCTGGGAGGACAAGAAATAGAAAGCGATTTAAATTAGTGATTGATTAACATTAGAGCTTTGTCAAAAGCAGGTGGGTAGGCAGCAGGCAGTCACTGCTTAGCCCAAGCAGACTCATTTGTTCCCAGGGAGAGGGATTTCCACAAGAAATCCACAGTTTGAATGAACTTACATGGCTGGCTGGGAGCAAAACAGACTTATGAGATGTGACAAAATTTACTGCTCCAGAACTGAAGAAGCAGAACAAAGTTAACACATATGTCAGGAGGAAAAACAAACCAACAAATAGAAAGCAGGAAAGCTAAGCCACAGTTCCATTATCTGATTACAGCTGAGCTAGCAGAGATATTTGAATTCAAATCCATTTCAGTTTTATCCACCGACAACAGCTCAACCAAGCTAATCTGGCATATCAGGAAGTCTGTTTCAGTGTTTACCAAGACAGTAAGATTAGTCTCCCGATATGCAAGACAAGCTTTCCTTTCTTTCTCTTTTTGCAGTGTAATAAACAATTATTTGACTGGGGGGGGGGGGGGAGCAACAACTCCACCACAGGAACAAACCAAGCCAGCAGAAGAAAAATCAGCCTACAGCCAAACACAAAGAAAGAAACGAACAGCCTTTAAACCAAACTTTTCCCACTGTTTAGATACCAATAGTCTTTTTATTTTAAAACAACAACAACACACAAGATCTTTTCAACAGCTGATTCTGTTAAAGATAGCAGGACAGGTAAAGATTGCTGCCTGGGTGTTAGACAACCATCAGTCAGAGCTGGCAGTACTGAAATATAGGGACCAGTGATCCATCTTTGGATAAGGGAGTTTCCCACAAATGTCCCTGCAGCAGGAGAATGGGCAAACACCCAAGTACCATTCATGGCCCTTTCAGAAAGCTCTGCTGTTACTACAGTGCTTTCAAAAGGTCAGCTGCCCTTGTTTGTTCATTGATTTCAGACAACTTTGGTGCGACTGCTCTCAGACTGACAATTTGCCATCGGCTGGGAATGACTATGGTCCAGATGAACATGGGGAAAACCGCATCTGAGAGAAGTTTCTCACCAATCTGATTCTGACCCAAGAATGAAATGCTGCAAAGAAATCACCTTTTTCCTGGCAGAGCATAAAGCTCCAGTACTGCCACCGTGGAAACTCAAATGGGCAGTATCATCTGGACGTCAACTTACGCCAGCCCAAAAAGAACAGGGAGGGGCTTCCCAAGAACTATTCGCCCACACGAGCCAAATACACCCTGCCTTCCATAGCTGTAGCCAGGTATGTCAGATGGACGTCTAACAACCTCGGAATGTTTATCCTACAGCGTAGAAGCAGCACAGTGAAAATGGTATGTAGCTTAAGTGCACTACCAGAACAGCAACATGTCAGATGTAATAAAGACTAAATAAAACACATCAATTACTGCTTCAAAATAGGGGTCACTCTCCAGTCCCTACAGCCAGGAAAGCAGAAGTTGTGGCTGCATTAAACAGCACATGTAATCATCTGAAACATTTATTGGCTTTGCCCCTGGCACAGGCATTGATAGGGACATGGCAAGCAGGCAAGCAATTTTGTGTGTGTGTGTGTGTGTGGCTTGTTTGCAAGGGGGGGCACGGGGAGAGGAAATTGGTGGTTGGCATAGGCCTCCGATCAGCCCCAGATGATCCAGGCCTCTGCTTCTCAGAAGGATTCTGAGATAACCTGACAGACTTATGAATAAGGGAAGAGCTACCTCTAATACATAGGTAAAGGTTTCCCTTGCTTGAAATCCAGTCGAATCCAACTCTAGGGGTGTGCTGCTCATCTCTGTTTCCAAGCCAAAGAGCCAGTGCTGTCTGAAGACGTTTCCATGGTCATGTGGCCGGCATGACTAGATGCTGAGGCGCACGGAACCTGTTACCTTCCCACCAAAGTGGTACCTATTTATCTACTTGCAATTTCTTGCTTTCAAACTGCTAGGTTGGCAGGAGCTGGGACCAGAGACGGGAGCTCACTCCATTATGCAGCACTCGGGTCTCGAACTGCTGAACTACCGACCTTCCAGTCTGCATTTCAGTGTCAACCACTGAGCCATATAAATCAGTCGAGACAGGAGTTTCCCCTTTTGAATTCACAAAGTGAGGTATATTGTGGAGCTCTTCCAGTAATGTAGGACAGCAAACAAACCAACATCAACACCCTAACCCCTACCCTTCACTCTGAACTCTCCCCCTACCCAGTACATAAGATACTCCTCTCTTCCTTGCACCCACTTCTGCACACTGTATTACTGAGAAATACATTTATTAAATTTATTTATGAAATTGGATTTACTAGGCTGCCCTTCCCTATATGACACATTTACTTCTACAAAGTTGACACTGGGGCAAAATGAAAACTATTCTATGACAAAACAAGTAGTGGGGGGGGAACAAGGTGGGAGACGGGGGCCAATACAATGGAAGAAGGGTCCGGTCATGTGCCGAGCAGTTTTCATACTGCACACCAGTAGCAGAGAATGGCCGAATTGCTTCCAGCAGAAGCAGGCCTGGGCCCAGGCGGGAGCAAAGGAAGTCTGCAAAACTGCTGGCAGAGAGCTGTACCATTTCTACTGCGATTGGCCTGAGGCATCTGAATACCAGATGAAGGTATTTTAAGACACAAGGAGGGTCAATTCCCAGAGTTTTTATGAGCTTATATTGTGCCGAAGCACTTTTGTTATTACTGCCAAGCCAATTGATTCAGAAATCTCTAATAATCCCCAAGCCACTATGATGCCAGGAGTCCAAGTACTTCATAAACTGCACAGCTATTTAAGGTATCTATGTGCTCAAAAAAAGGCATTAGCAAAGGTCTGCAAATGTCCCTTACGTAAAGTCTCTTGAAAGTCACTTATTACTTTGGCC